GAGTTCTGGATAATTTCGTGGAGGAGTAGTCTCAGCTGGGGCGGTTTTGCCTCCCAGGGGATGTTGGACAATGTCCAGAGACATTTTTGGTTGTCATAACTTGGGGAGGGTGGTTACTGGCTCATGGTTCTTCGAGAGATGGAGTTCAAGGAGGAAATTCAGGTCATGGGATTCGTCTCATCCTGTGGCTGTGGAAGGCTTTCTCCCCAGGTCCCTTTGAAAGAAATCTGCCCCAAAAGCAGCCTGGGCCAGAATAGGGGCCTAAAAGTAGGAGTGGACTTATCACCCCAAATTCTGTTTCCATTTCCCCTCCCTGCCCCTCCAGAACCCCGAGATGGAATTGCTAATATATCTTCAGCAGAGAAAAGGAAACCAGACCTGCCAACTTCCTTTCAGGAAGGAATTGCTATAAATGCTGGGCAAAAGATAGGCAGCTTATGTAATAGGACCTAGCCAAACCTTGGTCATGTTACACAAAGAGGTTCAGATTTAAAGTACTAGATATAAAAACTGGCAGGGGTCTCACCAGGGGATCAAGCACAGAGCTGCCCTTCAGGAACTCTGTAGTGGGTGGAGATTGTTTTGGTGCCCAGCCCTGCTGCTGCCAGGACCTAAGAGGGTGAAAGAGAAAGCCAAGGAGGGTTCTTGATCTCAGGAGTTCCTTGTCCTGCCAGACGTTTGCTGGGGGGAGGTCAAGGAAAATGAGCAGAGAGTCTGAGTTACTCAGTATCTCAGGTGGTAACATAGTATGCTTTTTTTTTTTCTTTTTTAATAATGCACAAACGCAGGGCCCAGCCCTTGGCTCCCAGGATCTTTTGGCAGAGTGAATGAAAATGGAAGAACAAAGCCCATAGGGCTGATGAATCAGATCAAGTGACATCCCTCTAAAACCAGAAAAACTGGCCTGGGCTTGCTGGGCAGCACTGGGCAGCAGTCAGAGTCGCTGCCAAGGAGGTGGCGGCTTCAGTGTGGTTGGGGAAGGGATGTCGGGAAGGGCCTCACTCATCACATACTCTTCAGGTAAAGACATTGACCCCGGAAAGCTCCCTAACAGGGACTGTAACCTTGAGGGGCAGCCGGAGAGGGACCCACTGAGAGACTGGGTGGGGAGCTTGGGAGGAATATCCTGAACAGGGGCTAGAGTCCAGGGTGGTAGGCCTTCTGGACCCCTGGGTGGGACTTACCAGGGCGAGGGGGAGGCGTATGAAAGCTCTGACTCGGTGAAGGGGACATAGAGGAGAAAAAGGGTACAGCTGAGAGGGAGGAGGGCGCCCCTGAACTGGACCATTACCAAATGGGGAATGTTTCTGAAGGTCGGCCTAGGCATAGATCTCACTTGGAGAGCTGGCACACAGTTGGGAGTTAGGGGGAATAAGGGAATTAGATCTTCAGGAAGCAGCTTTCAGAAAAGAGAGAGGATGAGCTGGGATGCTCTTAAGTGGTAGATAGTTCAGGATGGTTGGGAAGCCCTTAGAAATGACAGAGAGTGGCCCCCTGAAGAAAAGAAGGCAATGATGGAAACTGATATGGCTTCCTAGGATGTAGCCAAAGATGAAGGTAGAACGTGATCCAGAGGCCACAGAGCAAGCTGCAGTTTGCAGTGGAACTCAGGGGGACCAAGGAGGCTCTTACATATATTTGGAAAAAGAACAAGGAAACAGTGCCTTGTCCTGGAGGCTAGTGGTGTAACATTAAGAGGGGACAGAAATAAATAAGTCCCATTTTGTTTCCATCTTCTTTTGAGCTTGAAAAAGTAGGACAAATGGTGATAGAAGGGACTTGAACCCAAGATGGGTGATTCTTCTCCTGACCTGGGCAGTTTCTGTCCCGGGGGCTGAGGTTGTGGTTGGTGACCTACAGGGCATGTGGGGAACAGCAGCGGGAGTGGAGGGCTAGAGACGACTGATGTCCATTTATCAAGAAGGCAAAGGAGGTGGGCTCCACACATTAGTATAGGGGAGGATTGCAGACACTTAGAAAGCACTTAGGAAATGGTTGTCATTGGGCTCACTGGAATCAGGTTGATCAGTTTAGTCATTTTTTTGGATATTAGACAAAGTATTTTTGTATTTAGGTGAGGCCTTTGACACCCCACCCAGACCACCTGGTGATGTTATCAGCGTGTTTATAACCAGGGAGAGACCCTATGTGGAAAGGGTTCCTTGTTGGTTCCCAGCCTCCACGACGGACCTTGTGGAAGGGCTCTGCTCTTGAGCTTGTTGGGCTGGTAATGTGGCTTCATGTGTCAGGGGGCTGGTGATGGTAGTGCTGGCTGAGAGCAGACCAGGAAGAGCGGGATTGAGATCCGAGAAGCTCTCCATAGAGCAAGCAAACAGCGGCCAACTCTGCAAGGGTGGAATTTACCAGGGCGATGTGAGGGGCCAGAAAAGTGACCGTGCAGGTACAGTGTGGGGCTTGTGGCTCAGTAGCGTCATGGGAGAGAAGAACTCTTGAGTTTCTGCTGGTTGCAAACCCTAAATACATCGGGAGGAGGATGTGGCTTCCAGAAGAGCTGATGTGGGCTCAGGCGTCATGGGCGGAACTCAGGTGCCAGGGATGCTCCATGTTCCCTGAGCCTTAACGATGTGACGCCTTCTCGAACCCCTAAGTGCAGAAGAGATGGCTCCTACCTCTGAATTCGTCAGTTCTGGGAACTTTAGTCTCATTTCTTTCATAATTTTCTTGACTGGATTTTTCTGTTCTCTTTCTAAAACTCATTATTAGTCAGATTTTGGGCCTCTTGAGCTGATCTTGGTTTTTTTTTTTCACCCTTTTTTCTAATATTATATATCTCTTCATCTCTCTGCTCTACCTTCTGAAAGGTTTCTTCTATACTTTTATTGAGTTTTTTATTTTACTATTTATAATTTTAATTTCCAAGAGTTCTTTTTTGTTGTCTGAATGTTCATAAAAAAAAAAAAGCATCTGATCTTGTCTGATATGATCCGATCTGCTAATGCCTCCTACTGCCATCTTCCAAAACTGTGTTTACCTATCTTAAGTGCGGTTTTTTTGTTTTGTTTTGATTTTCTCTTTGTTCTTGGTGATTCCTACCTTAAAAAAAAAATCCCTTTCTTTTTATTTCAGTAGACTTTTGGGAGGGAATAGAGTTTATCTTATTTAACTGAAAGTTTATTGTTTTATTTAACTTTTATATATCCCTTTGTTTTGAATGTGTCTTTTTAGACACAGTTTGAGGTGGTTTGTGGATTTCAAAACATTCAGTGTTGGAGTCTGAATTTTGATCAGGGAGTTTAGACCATTATATATTTACTATAATTATTATCATGTTAGGACTTACTTCTCCTATCTTATTTAATGCTTTCTACTTATCATATGTTCTCTCTGCTTCTTCCCCCCCGCCTTCCTTTGTATAGATTGAATTTTCTTCTGCTGTGTCAAAGTCATATATTCTTCTCGTGTCTGACTTCCCATGCCCCCTGTCTTACCTTATTGCTGTCTTGCATCCCAGGGGTGTCAGCACCATCCTGACTTCACCCTCTGTTCTCCCGGCCTGTGCTGGACCCGTGGATCCTCCAGGGCTGGGTTCTGTGGAGGGAGGGCAGCCCTGTTCACTTGCCATCTTGTTCAGAACTGGACAAGGCTTTTACAGGGTTATCCTAGAGGGGTCTCCAGTGCTCAGTGGGAGTTCTGTTTAAATAACCTACAGAAAGGTCCCTGAGGTTTTGTGCAAGGTCTTTCGGTGGCAGATTCTAACGGGGAGGGAGAGAGACAACAGGCAAGTCTGAGCTCTCTGGTAGAGCTGGGAGTGCCGGACCTTCTGAAGTTCTTCCACAGTCTGCCTCTCTGAGACTTCTGCTCCCTGGCGCCAGCTTTGCTACTAGGTGCTGTGCCGAACACTGTCCTGCGACAGGCCAGAAACAGATGAGGAGAGAGGGAGACCACAGTGAGGCGATAGGGGACCGGGTTGGATTGGCACAGGTATGTCCCATCCAAAGAGGCAGCTGCTCCTCAATACCACCAAGTCATTATCAAGTAGGAATACGGGCCCAGCAATGCCAGAGCTTTCAGTTTTTCAAGAGAGGCCAGGAAATTGGATTTTCTATGTGAAGTCTCCCGGTTTGTATATATTGGCTTAAAAATGTTTATAATTTCATGCAGGCCAAATAGCATGTCTGCAGGCTGTATCTGGCCCAGACATTGCTACCCAGACATTGCTCTGGTTAGTCGCTGATTCTGTCCTTGTCCCCCTTGACTCTTTTCCTTCCTGGACAAGCATCTGTTGAAGATGTGATTTCCTCCACCCTTTCCCTCCCGCCACCTCGGTTGGGCCCCTTTATTCTGCCAGCTTGTTACTCTAACGTCTCATTTTGCAAATGATGGCAGCTGGTCTGGTGTGGCTCACACTACCGAGTGCTGTTTCTCACAGCCACTTACTTCGTTCAGCCCCTTAACCACCCCTTTGTGTACATCATTCATTTATCTAGTAAATGAGGAGTGTGAAGATGACTTCATTCTTGCTCCCTGAGTGTGGGGTGCACAGGTCTGTTTCACTGGAGACTGTCTGCAGCTGGAGCCCATGAGGCTGTGTTACCAGAAGTACAAGAAAGGACCTTGCCTGCTGTCTCGCTCGGGCATGGGTGCAGACACCACAGGCGGGGCCCCAGCCTCCCAGTGCTGTGGCCTGCGGGGGGCAGGGCTGCGGGTGGCGCAGACCACAGGACCAGTGAGCCTCTTGGGGTGGCCCCCGTGCCCTGAGCTCACCTCGCTCTGCAGCTTTATATACACTGGGCACTTGGTAACTCCTTCCTCAGCAGCCCCGCAGATAGGGAAGTGAAACGGCTGCATCTGGTCGGGCCTGACCTTTGGGTGACAGCGGAAATAGCTATGCAAACATAGGACTTGCTGCCATGGAGGGAGAAGTCCTCTACCCAGCCAGGCTAGGAGGAAAGCACTTGCTTGGCCTGGCCTCCTATGGCCTTCAGGCTGGTGGCTCTGGCAACAATTTCTCTCCCCTGTCCACTTTTTCTTGGTGACAGCTGGAAGTAGCCGTGGTCACAACTGAGAGAGCCAAACATTTCTACAGCCCACAGGATGTTCCTGTCACCCTGTACAGCGACGCCGATGAATGGGAGGTCAGTGCTGGGGGCCCCAGGGCTGAGTTCCATTGTGTTTTTACCAACAGGACAGGACTGTCTTCCCTGCATCTTACGGGCATGATGGCTGGAGCAGGCAGGCCAGGCTCCAGTCAGCGGTCAGGGCCCTCTGGACACAGGCAACGAGGAAAACATCTGTGTAGTTTCTGGCTTGTGGGAGGCCCACAGGCTCCTCCCACCCCAGGCAGAGCTCAGCTTTGGCCCTGAGCCTGAGGTCTGTCCTTGTACTTATCTGGGTTGATGAAACCACAGAGGAGCTCTGTTCCCACCACCCCTGTCCACGTGGCTCTCAGTGTCAGGCCTGTTGAGAGCGCCTCACTTCCCACGGCCACTGGGCTCTGCTTCTGCTCTCCTGCAGAGGGGCAGGCACTGCCAGTTCACCAGACATCGAGTGTGGGCCTCACCAGGGTGCCCTGCCAGGCGTTTTTAAACATTCTCAGCCTAGAACATTTCTGGCTGGCCGTCCTCCCCACCCCACCCCCTCCATTTCTCACCGCCCCAGAGCGCTTCCACTGGCTCAGACAACCCAGGCATCCGCCTCTAGCAGACAGGCCAGGAGTTCCCTGCCAGATGTCAGTTCTCTTGAAAACCAAACCATAAAGGGAATAGCTTGGAGAGACAGGGGGTGTTTGTTTCCTTGGGCCTGGTTTCTCTCAGGCTGTGGCTGCACGGCCGATGCTCAGCAGCCATGCTGCAGGAGGAGTGGCACTGGAGTCGGGCAGGGGTTGCTCAGGTGGTCTCCTCGGGGTCCTGACTCTGTGTGCCTGGTCTGCGTTGGCCCACCCCCTCCCCCTACACACTGAGAGGGCGATCTGCCCTGCGACCCCATTTCTTTTCATCCTCCAGATGTGGAAGCACCGGTCTGACCCAGTTCTCCACATTGACCTACGGAGGTGGGCAGACCTCATGCTGGTGGCTCCTCTTGATGCCAACACCCTGGGGAAGGTAGCCAGTGGCATCTGTGACAACTTGCTTGTGAGTGACTCCCTGTGCCCTCCTCCCTCCCTGGGCCTCATTCTCAGTGTGCTGAGCTGCCGGACTGCCTTTATGCAAGGTTTCTGCTTCGGAATCCTTTTGGGGTAGGCTGGTTTGCTACAGTCCCCCTGGCCCCTCCCCACCATACCCTGGTCTCACCTGTCCTCTGGTAACGTGGGCGGAACACCTAGGCCTGATAGGCTGACTCCCTGAGGGTGTCCACGCCTCCCTGTTCCCTGGCATCAGTTCCTCTCCCTTTGTCTCTGTGACAGGCTGCCCTCAGAGTGCCGTTCCCTTGGCCTCCCTGCCCAGACCCACTGCCGGCCCCTTCGCCCAGCTTTGCCTTCTCCCCAGGACTTGGATACCCACACGGGCAGTGTGATAGTGTGTCACTTCCTCATGGATCTTTCATGAACGCTTATCTCTCCTATAGCTTTAGCCACAGACAGATATGGTTTTCCTGGATATTATGGAAAGCTTAGAGAGAGAAGGACAAGGTGAGGGGCGCGAGCTAACGGACGGTGGAGGAGAGGACACAAGTCTAGCCGCATGAAGCGGGGATTGTCTTAGGCCCGTGGGACCTCCAGGGATCTGCTGTCCTAAAGAGCTTGTTTATATGGTCATCCTGGGAAAAGTTAGTGTGATGTCTCCCCTCCTTCCCTCCCCCTTATTATCGCTCTGCCCTCAGGAGTTGAGCTTTTACCAACAGTGAACCAGGATGGGGGATGCACAGGACACAGGGTGCTCAGAATCTGGAAGGAGAGGACTTTTAGTTGCCAATACAGGGAAGAAGGGACTATGCTCTGGTGTGTGATGCAATCTTACACGGCCCCAGTCAGTCCCTTGACAACTGCGCACCACCTTGCATAGTGCAGGGTGTATAGCAAGTGCTCAATAAGCGCTTATTATCTATGTGAGGTGATTAGTGATTTTACTTGGCAAAGAGCCAGGGGTTTCCCAGAGTTTAATATGGTGAAGAAGTGAATCATGAAGCTGGGTCAAGATTTTTTGAGGTAAGACAGGAGGTTAGTCTCCTTGTATGCTTACTGAACGGCACTTAATACATTTTTCAAAGAATCTACTGGTAATTGAAGCATCATTTGAATAAGAGCTCAGAGGGGCCAGAAGATGAGCGCCATGCGGATGACGCGGCCAGGAGCGGAGGTGTGGGAGAGGGGTGAGCCGGGCGGCCGCGTTAGCAAGAAGGCTCCCAGGGGCTGGAGCCGGGGCTCAGGGAGCAGCTGGAGTAGGTGAGGCTCCTGGCCACCTTCACCCACGTGGGTCCGAGGCGTGCGTGACCAGCGCCATCTCACCGGCTCTTCCCGCGATCTGGCCAGCAGCCAGCTGAGAGGGGAAGCACACGCGGGGGAGTTGAGCCTGGGCCTCGGCCAGCTCTCTGAGGGCCCTTCCTTCCTCATGAGAGCCCTGCCTGCCCCGTCTCCCAAGTCTGTGGGGTTTCAGAAATCCTTCTGCGTTGGCTGAGCAGTGGAATATGTTCCCAAGACCAGACCCTAGGCCATCTGTCTCAAAGGGCTTCACTGCAAGTCTCACCGTTTTAAAGAAATTAGAAATCCTACGAAGTTTAAACTGTCAGCATCCTTGGTCTGTGGCTCTGTTCTCTCTCAAAAGGTGTCTTTTCCTTCTACCCCTGAACAGCAGCTCATCCTGCTGCCTACTTCCTCAGACTTCTTCCCTTTCTAGCGCCCGGAACTCGGGGTGCTGTGGGAGCAGCGTGCTGGGTGGGGTCCTGGGCCCTCAGCCTCGTGGCTCTGGGCCTGAGTGACGTGCATCTCCATCTGCCCTCTGGCCTGCTCAGGCTCTGGGTCCTTCTTTGCGCTAAATAGCCAAGCAGACCCAGAAAGGGGAGGTGCCTTCTCTGGGTCCCCAGCCTAGCCAGGAGCTGGTCTCCTGGCCTGGATCTAGGCCTTCTCTCTGTCCAAGTGGGTTTCCAGGGGCAGAGCCTGATGGGCCGAACCACACCACTGGCCAAACAGAAGGGACATGGGAACTGATCTCTCTTCTCATCCCTCCTGCTGCCGGCGGGTTCGGACGTGCTCTGGTTTGTCCAGGAAGCACTGAGCTCCAAGATGAGGCGGAAGAAGTTGGAGGGTGTGCGCCCTGGGGCTACTAGGTCTCTGCTTTGGTTGCTGTGCTTTGCTCGGAGGACACTCAGAAACCTCAGCCTAGCCCCCATCCCACCCCATGCGCACTCAGGAGGCTCTTGTAGGTGTGTCCATGACTTCTGCAGCAGCAGCAGCTGGCCCAGGGCCAAGAGGAAGTGCGACTGAAACTGTCCACTCATTGCCCGGGTGCCGAGAGGAGTCGGTGGGAAACAAGCGCTGGGGTGGGACTGCGCAAGCATCCAGGTCCTGAGGCTGTGTGCTGCCGTGTCCTTCCTGTGCCCAGGAGAGGGCAGGAGCTCTGAGGGCAGGCACCGACCCTAGCCTGTCAGGGCACTGTTCTCTGGACTCTTCACTCTTTCCCCAGATGGGCTTCACTTTAAAAAAGGGGTGTGCAGCCACTGTCTCCCTGAAGGGCCCACAGCTGGGGAAGAGGTACGTGGAGCAGTCAGAGCACAGGAGAGCTCACACCTGGGGTCCCCAGAGTCCATTTCTCCCCCAGGCAGCCTGTGGCCTAGGGAGCCTGAGCCTTTAATGATAACAGGAGCCACCATTTCTGGAGCCTATACTTGGTGGCAGGCCCTGTGCAAAGAACTTCCAGCATTTTCAGCTTCCGCCCTCACAGCCCCCCAGTGAGGAGGCTTTTGCAGACAGAAAGCTGACTCCTGACACTGAGTTGTCTTGAGTTCTGCTGGCCCGTAATAGTAGATAGCACAGAGGCATCTGAACGCAGGCTCCGATTTCACAGCCCCTGGCACCGAGGACTGTGAGCTGATGTGCCCCTTTCACTGCTGCTCTGCCCTGAAACTGGTGGGATGGCCTGGAGTGGGCAATGGTAAGGCTGCGCGGTGCACTTGAGGATTGCGTGGGCCGCACGAGGCCTCGTGCCCTGCATCCTTGTCTCTGTGTGACCTTGGGTGGTCTTTCACCTCTGGGGAGTTCAGCTTCCCCATCCGGGAAACAGGGCAGCACCTTCTTCACAGAGTCACAGTGAGAGTTCAGGCAGTGCTATATGTGAAAGGATTTTTGTCATGTACAAGATACTGTTTTCATTACCAGGCTTTATTGGCCTTAGAGTAGGGCTGGTATGGGGCAGGTGGGCCCCGCCTGATGAGCAGTCTGGTCCTTAGCTTTATAGGTCACTACACAGCTTGCCTTCTGCCCCCCAGAGTTGCTTCTGTCTGTGAGGGGTGGCCTGCTGTGGAGAGGCATCACACTTGGGCTCAGGAAGACCTTTCTGCTCACGAGTGAGGTCTGCTCGAGTGTCTGGACTACTGCAAGTGCTGGTGGGGGACGTCCTGTGTGTAGGGCCCCAGGCCAGGGGAGGTGGGAAAGCAAAGAGGGGTGAGGAGATGTGGCCCCACCCGCTAAGGGACATGAGGCAGCTCCCTGCAGACAGGCAACACCTAGTCATCCCAAGCCCACAGTTGGCTGTGACTCAGGGGACAGTGGGTAGGATGTGGAAGGGCTGGGGAGTGTTGGCAGGCAGAGCTGCAGCATGCCCCCCACCCCGACCTTGGCCCCTCTCCACAGACCTGTGTCATCCGGGCCTGGGACCCCAGCAAGCCCCTGCTCTTCTGCCCTGCGATGAACACCACCATGTGGGAGCACCCCGTCACTGCACGGCAGGTGGACCAGCTCAAGGCCTTTGGCTACGTTGAGATCCAGTGTGTGGCCAAGAAGCTGGTGTGTGGAGACCAAGGTGAGCATCTGGCCAGGCTTGCGGCCTGGGGCTGAGGAAGGGCTCCGCTTGGGGATTAGCTCTGCTTTTAGATCCCAGCCCTTTGTGGTCTTGGGCAAAACTGTCCTTAAGCTCAGCTTTCTCATCTGGGGAATGGAAATCATGATGTCTCCCTCTTAGATTAAATGAAATGGTATATGCAAGGTGCCCGGTATCGTCCGTGCCACACAAGCATGATACTCATGATGGCTGCTGCAACTCTTCCTGGGAGCTGGGGGCATTTTAGAAGGGATTTGATGAGTCTGGCGCAGGCCGAGGTGGTCTTGGCCTCCTCAGGTATTGGGCTCTGGGTGGAGCACTTGGGAGCACTGTGCAGGGTTGGGGTGGAGGTGGGGGCTGGGCCCCTGCCTCATTCTACAGGCCACAACAGAACCTTGCTCCCCAGGTCTGGGGGCCATGGCTGAGGTGAGCACCATTGTGGACAAAGTGAAAGAAGTCCTTTCCTGGCACTGCGGCTCCCAGAAGAGTTGAACTGGGATTTCTGTCACATGCATCTGTCTGTACTCAGCGTGTTTCAGGCCGAGTTGGTGAAGAAGGTGGACATTGGCAAAATCCGGTGAAGACTCCTACATTTGCTGAGTAGGGGTCTGGCCTGGGTCTGCTTTGGACCCTCCCCAGGGGCTTGACGTGCCCCAGGTTGAATTAGACCAAATCCAGACTTCTTTCCAACTAGAAGACACATGCTTTCTGGAGCTCCTTCTTGGGGTGGGCACGGGCAGCCGGAGGAGTCAGCCTCTGTGTCGCCCTGTGCTCTTGGAAGGGGCCTGAGAAGTGACCGAGAAACCTTGATTCTGCATCATTCCCGGGAGCTGCTTTCAGAAACAGTCGCTGTGGAGACCCCCAGGGTGGTGGGCCTTGGCCAGGCCTTCGGAGCTTCAGCCCCTTATGGGGTGCCCAGGTCCCACACGGAATAAGTTAAGCCTGCTCACACGTGGGTGAATTGGCACGACCCTTAGATTTGCCCAGACCATGCTGTGAGATTGGGGGTACTGGGGAATAAAGAAAAGCGACCTTTGGGGGACTGTCCTTCCTTTACAGCCGGTCTGTGGTCTCAGAGATGAGGGCGTTGTAGGTGTGGCTGGGGAAGGGTCTGGGCTGACGACTGACCGGCGCTTCTTCATCCCCATACTAGTGTGATTAAAGGCTTTGAAGCCAGCTAGCCCCTAGTTCGAATCCCAGCTCCGCCATACTAACAGTGGGAACTTGGCTCAGAGCTCAGCCTTTCTGACCCTCACTTTTCTCATCTGTGTTATCCCACCCTTGTGGAGTTGTTGGGAAGGTTAAATGTGATAGTGTCTGCAGAATACCTGATCCACTGCCTTTTACATACTAAATGTCAAATAAATAGAAGTTAAATCTAGGTATGTATTCATACCAGGGAGCTTTTCTAACATTTATTGAAATAGAGCATCTAACATTCTTATTTTCGGAGAAATAAAATCCTCGACCACAAGCAGACATGGCATTTATGCAAGTGACAGGAATATAGCCAGCGGGGTTGGCACCTGCCCTGGACCCCAGGCCCCTTGCTTCCTGGTATCGTCCTCATCAGCTTTACGTTACCGAGACCAGGGCCTGGTGGCCGTGCCTCTTCCTAACCCCCCCCCACGCCGCCTTGTCACGGCACACAGGAACGAGGGGAGCAGACTCCACAGAGAAACATGCTCTGCTCTTGAAACCCCTGTCCCCTTGCCTTTGACCTAATTGCTGTTTGGTGGCTGCAGTGGGGAGGGGCTTGTTTGCCTATTTGGAGCTGCTGTTTGGGCTGGCTTCCTGCCCTCCAGGCGGGGAGAGTGGGCACCCTGTGCGCGCCTTCGGGCCACTGAGTGTAGAGGTTCCTTCAGGGAACACCAGGCCTGTTGGCCATAAGCAAGACGTCCAGTGGCCTCTAAGAGCTTTGTTTCTATAGACTTGACTTGACCAAGGGACCCTTTGGGATTAAATTCCCTTAGGGCACTAAAGAAAATACAACCCAGATGATAGCATCAAGAACCGACCTCTCTGGGTGTTGGGGCGCAGGGAGGGCCTGGACAATTGAAATCCAGAGGCAATCCCAAAGTTCGACTTAAATGGTTTCCAGATTCGCCCCTCCTGTCCACATTGCTCTTCCTTTCCCTCAGCAAGCTGCTCATAAATGGTGAGGCTTTCCAGTTTTAACAGAAACTGCTCACGTACTGAGTGCTTACAGTGTACAAGACTCTGTATTGGGCACTTCAGGGAAGACAGTTGCCCAGGAGACCCGCTATAAAATGCCTGTCTTAAAAGACCACAGGAGCAGAGAAGTTGATAGGCTTCTGCCTGCTACCTCTGAAAATAGCTTTGGCTGCTCAGACCAACATAGCCTTGCTGGCTGGAAGGACAGAGATGTCCCGTGGATGGGACTAGCTGGAGGCCCCATCCCTGTTGCGCATTTTGAATCGGGGTCTGGGTGAATGGACGTGGGCTGAAACTGAAGAGCCCAGCTGTTCGCTGAGCCAGGCTGGAGCTAAGAGGAGAGGGTTAGCGTCCAGGCTGCATTTTCCTGGCCCTACTTGCCAGAAGAGGGCTGAAGTAGGAGTGATGCCACAACTTTCACCACCCAAGAGTCCAAGCTCTTGAAGTTGTCATCTTGGGTAGAAATCTCAGAGAAGATGCTAGTTTCCCTGATGATTTTTATAGAATTCTGGAAGTTCGACAGAGTAGAACATTTGGGTGTGAAATTCGCAGTCTTGTTTGGCAGGCTGCAGCCTCTCTCGGCTTCTGTGGCTGCTGCTGGACAGGAGGCAGAAGCCGCCAAGCCAGGGCCCAGTGTCTGCACTGTCTGCATTTCTTTTGTGCCCCTCTGCTGCCTCCCTGCTGCCTCCGGGGAAGGCCTTGGATTCTGGGCAGTGTACCCTGGACCCTCTGTGATCTGTTCCCTGCCCACCTTTCTAGCTCCACCCCTCGCCACCTGTCAGCCCCGCAGAGCTCCCTGTCCTCCCGCCAGGCTGGACCACCTGGACAGAGCCCCACCGCTTTGTGTTCTTCGTTTGCACATGCCGCCACTTTACTGGAACGCCATTCTTCACCTGGCTGACTCCTGCTCGTGCTTGTGGGGCACCTGGGTGCCAACTCCTGTGTAAAGCCTGCCCTGGCCAACTCAGGCTGGATTAGGTGGTCCTTGCCCAGGTTGCCATTGTGCCCCCCTTCTATTTATTATAACATGGAATGCAAATGTCCCCCTGAAATTCAGGGCTCCTGGAGGGCAGTAGTTGTCTTGTCCTTGCAACACCTGGTAAGTCATTCCAAGCGTCTTGTACTAACAAATAAAACCAGGTGTGTGTGGAGGGCGGGGCTGGGGGTCCTGCAAGGCATACAGCCTAGGAGCCGTCAAAGAAGACTGAGAAATCTGACTACAGGGAAACAATTTATCCTAGGCAAGGTCAAAAGACAACAAAGTCAGAAAATTACAAGCAGCTCATATAACAAAGGGCTAATTCCTCTAACATATAAAGAGCTCCTATACATGGATTGGAAAAAGACCAAGAACATAAAAGAAAAGTAAGCAGAGGATAAAAACAGGGTCCCCATCCCACAGCCCTTAAACAAAACAGTGCTCAACCACATTCGTGAAGAGACAAACTTCACTGAAACAAGTTTTCACCTAGTAGATTGGTGAGGGTGTGGAGAACTGGCACTCTCATAAATTGCTGGTAGGAGTGTAAATTTTCACAACTTCTTTGGAGAACAATTTGGAAATATTTATCAAAACGATATATATGCCTTACCCTTTGACCCAGCAATTCCACTTCCGGGATTTGTTCCACAGATACACTCACCTATATTTCATTATGTCTGAACAAGGCTGTTCATTGCAGCCTTGTACACGGTAGTAAAAGACTGGAAATACCCTCCCCATCTAACAGATGGAGATTGGTTAAATAAATCAGGTCATTCCCCCACTGGAACATTACACAGCCATGAGACAAAGTGTGAGGACACTGCCTAGTTGCTGATACAGAATGATGCCTGAGATAAACTGCTGAACAGAAGGTGCAAGATGCTGAACACTGTAATCACATGCTAGCTTGTGGGTAAAAAAAGTAGGGGGAGAAAAGGAGGACGTATTCATAGTGGCTTATAAATGCATCGAATACCGATTGAAAAACAAACAGGAAAACATTTTTTTTGCCTTCTGGGAGGGGGACTGGGTGGTTGAGAAACAAAGATGGAAGACTAATTTCATTTTAAGTTTTGAGCCAGAAGAATGTATTCTCTACCATGAAAGCAGTAAATACATATATTTTAGAAAAGGGTTCCTTCTTCCCTTTATCCAGAAGTTCTCAAAAATTACTTGACAGGGAGTTAATGCAAGAGACTCGGCAGAAGGCATCTGGGCATTTCCGTCAAGGCCTTTGGAGTAGGAACGGGTCTTTCTTCTTGTCATGAGCTAACAGAGGAAGATGACCTGAGCACTACTGGGGGCTTCTTATCCCAGGGAGCTCATGGTCTTATGGGAAAAAGACTTCAAAGCTATGAAACAACACAAATGACAGTGAAAATCAAAAGTGCGACAGTGGAGTGCAGTGGTTCAGAGCCAGAAGTAGTCAGGGGGGCCTTGTGGAGCGAGCAGAGCTGGGGCTCGTGCTCACTGGGGGGCCGGCCAGCCTGTTAAAAGTGGATCCAAAGCCTGGAAACGTGCTGCCTCATGCTCGGTGTGGGGTGCCTAAGACTCCACATGCTAGCGAGTTGAGAGCTTCGGCAGGGGAGCATGGGGAGCGAGGAGTGGGCAAGGATCGGCTGTGTGGTGTGCGGGTCAGATTGGACAATTGAGAATCTGGGGTCAGGAAGGAAGCCAGCTGCTACGGAGGGAAAGCAAGGGTGTGCCGAAGCTGCACCTGTGCTTCTGGAAATGGAGGGGGTGCAGAAGTGAGGGACAATGCGAAGGACAGTCAGCATGATTAAAAAGTGTAAAAAACTACCCTGTGGTTAGTGGGGAAGGGAACTTAATGACAGTTGTGTGTGTGTTGGTGCAAGATTTAACAACAGTCCATAGTGCCACCCACTAAAAAGAATTTTGCTTTGCTTACTACAGTTTTTTTCTCTCAGGATTGTCCAGTCTGCCTTCATGGTTCTTGGGCATTGTGTGGAAGCAGAAAAAATGATTGAGATACTGAACTGAGAAGATGGAAAGGGGAAGGGAGTCTTACCTTTTTAGGTTGCATCTCCTTTGTGTGGTAGATTCTGGTGATGAGTAAAGGTGGAGAGAAAGTAAGGAGCAGAGACTCGATTACTCCATAATAAAGAGCTGAAAGGGGCCTGAGTGGAGAGGGTGGCAGCAGAGCCATGCAGGCCTGCCAGCAGTTGGGGTACAGTTTGGGGGTTGTCCTAATAGTGTCTCCAAGCCAGTAGAAGGTACAAGAAGATGGGGGGATAAAGGGACTTTTGGGGAATGTTCCAGAGGATTGTGAGTTGGATATACTTTAATGTTCTTTAGTACAACCAAGTAAAGATTGGAGTCCCTTTAAATCCCTTTGTCAGTGTGTGCTTCTCTGAGTGTGACTTGGCAGGATTGAGCCATATGGAGCCCAGATTGTATTCAAGTCATTCACATGTGTCACATGTTCTCTGCACCGCTAACAGTTGCCTTGATCTCTTTTCACCCTCCAATAGAGCAGCTTCGTGATAGAGTTAACTAGTAATAATTCCATTTTATAGATGGGAAAGTCAGGGTCCCCCAGCCATTCTTTCTGCTCTACAGCGACCCCCAAACAGTCTGCTCCTGCGAACTCATGAGCATTTATCTCCCTGAGTCTGCTGAAACCTCCTTCCACCACCACCACCACCACTGCCGCCACCAGGTACCTGTTTTTTCATCCTAATATAGCAGCTGCTTCATTACCTTTTTCTTTCTGTACCTTCCTTCATACTTATGTTGTGGTTTCTAGGGCAGCACAAAAATCCAAAATGTCACGCAACTGCCTCTGAACAAAGAACCCTGGAATCAGATCCCAGTGACTGACAGGTTGTTTACACCGAGAGCTTCCTGGTGGAACCA